ACCCTAAACCCTAAACCCTCTCCTAACTTAGCCAGGAGGCATGCAGCCCGAAGAGAGACGCGGCTCCGGCTCCGGAAGCTTCGCGCCAGGATTGGCCTGACCCGCCCAAGGCCCTCTGACGGCCCGAGGGATGTCGTGGGGTTTAGGGGTTTTGGGTTTTAGGGTTTAGGGTTTAGGGTTTAGGGTTTAGGGTTTAGGGTTTAGGATTTAGGGTTTAGGGTTTAGGGTTTAGGATTTAGGGTTTAAGGGTTTAGGGTTCTTTCAAAGGGTACTGACTATGGGTTCCTTTAATGGTTTAGGGTTTGCGGCTCCTTCAAAGCGTAATTAATGACTATGGGTTCCTTAAATGGCTTGGGGTTTGGGGTTTAGGGGTCCTTTAACGGGTAATGACTATGGGCTCCTTTAATGGTTTAGGGTTTAGGGTTCCTTCAACGGGTAATGACTATGGGTTCCTTTAATGGTTCAGGGTTCTAGGGTTTAGGGTTAAATGTTTGTTCTCCAAAGGGCCGGGTGCTTCCTCTTGTCTTCTCCAGAGCGTTCTTTGCTTTTGCTAACGCTGGCACTGATTGCGCCGAAGTCGCACAAGCAAACGAGAGGATAATACCTGTTGCATGGGTTCTCGTCTCGTTCTCGTTCTTCCACCACGTGCTGACGCAGACGCCGCCAGAAGTCCTCCAACTTTGATGGTGCGCCAACCGCAAAAATGTCATCCACCTGTACAGTGACAATAACCGCAAGGCTCGCAATCCAGTAAACAGACGGAAAGCCATCGACCAACTGAGCTGAAAGGAAAGTGACCATCACCTTCTCAAAGAAATCCTTCCCCCACCCTTCTAAACGCACCAATAGGCCGGAGACTAAGTAGTTCAACATTGTCGCTTAAGATTCCATTAGCTTAGTCTTAGAACTGTATTTGCTGCTTGAAGGATCAGAGGACTTCGTAGTTGTTTAGGGTTCGTTCCTTTACGGGTTTTACAAATACGATAGTTCGTAACAACAGAACCCAGGACTCCGTAATACTTGTAAAAGTTTCGCAAAGGGGGTACGAGAAGGGTGCTAGAATCCCTAAACCCTAAACCCTAATATAAGGTACCACAGCGGCTTGAAACGGGGTACTCTAGGGTTGCCTGAAGGGTTCACTATTGCGTAGTGTACAGGCGCTATTTGGCTACCATAAGGGTTCAGGGTTCAGGGTTTAGGGTCCAGGGTTCAGGGTTTAGGGTTCGGGGTCTGTTCACCCATGTAGAACTACATTCCTCCGAAGGCTCAGGGGACCTCGCCGTACTCATTAGCGTGTTATAGAGGGGGAGTCCTAATGAGAGTGAGCTTCAAGCTTTTCGGGGCCTAAATGACAAGATGGTTTCGGGTATGTAGAGGTATACACACAGTGGGACTATTCAGAACGCATCATCGACAACGCCGGGCCATCAATACTTGAAGGGTCGGGGGACTTAGTAAGTAGGTAGTAAGTAGACATATAAGTACCCTACAAGGGACTCTAATTGGGGTTATGATCCGTACAAGTCCATAACATAGCTACTTACTAAGTCCCCAGACCCTCCAACGGATTAGTCCAGTCATGGCCTACCTACAAAGCCCCTCATTGAAGCGGTGGCGGGAGTGCAGTTATTTTATGGTTTGGTGTTTGGCGCTAGGGTTGTGGGGCTTTGGATTTAGGTTTGGAATGTGCTAATATGGACTTGAAGCGTTGAACCTTACGACTCTGCACCTGAACCTGGAAGCCTTAAACCCAAACTCCACGGATCCTAAGCCATAAATCCTAAACCCTAAACCGGGTCGAGGCAGGGTTGAGGGGTTTAGGGTTTAGGGTTTAGGGTTTAGGTTTAGGGTTTAGGGTTTAGGGTTTAGGGTTTAGGGTTTAGGGTTTAGGAGATCTTCTATAGACTTATAGGTATCGTAAGCCCAAGTAACAACTCCCTTTTTGCGGGTCCTTCTACGTCTACATCCTATCTGATCCTATCTACTTACCAAGTACCCCGACCCTGCAAGCGTACATTTCCCTTCAGGGGCCCTTCTTATAGATCTTTTTAAAGTACCCTTTAAAGGAATACTAAACCCCCAAGCCTTAAACCCTTAATGGGAACCTCTGTATCGAACCCTACAGTCGTACTTCCCCAAAAAGCCGGGGAAATGAACGTTTTTCAGATTGCTACTAGATTATAAGAACCCAAAGAAGTTTAAAGGTTGGGTCGGTTGGGTATTCGAGAATTAAGCTTACGAGCCCTAAACCCCTAAACCCTACACCCTCAACCCTAAACCCCTAACCCCGACCCCTAAACCCTAAACTCCCTAACCCCGGCCACCCTAAACCCCTAACCCCCACCCCTAAACCCTAAACCCCCAAACCCTAAGTAGTACCCCTTTAGTCATTTTATAGACTTATAAGTATCATAACCCCAATTAGGCTCCCTTTTAGGGTACTTATAAGTCTACTTCTTACCTACTTACTAAGTCCCCCGACCCTCCAAGTACCCCTTTTGAATGAGCCCTGATGGGCTTAAGTGGGGCTCCCCCACTGCGGCTCGGCGCACCTCTCGCAGTCGCCCGCCAGCCATGAGATCCTCCACTTCAAGGCTTTGGTTTAGGGTTTAGGGTTTAGGGTTTAGGGTAGGTTTAGGTTTAGGGTTTAGGGTTTAGGGTTTATTTTGGCTGACGATTGCTTACTCCACCGCTCTTACAGTCAGGGCCGCTCCTCCCAATAAAATAAAGACGAAAACCACGCACCTGCTTTTCGTAGACAGGTATATAAGAACTCAGAAAAAAATCTACAAAGTCGGCAGGGCAATGCATCTCCAAGCGGATTTTCAGGCTTTCGGCTCGCAGGGGCAAAGGGGTTCGATAGAGTAGAGATTGAGAGCATGTATTGTGACACGTAAGCAGGTGTCTGCTGGGTATTGAATTCTTGAAATGTCCTGAATGGAGCGATCCGGGCATGGGGCCGAAAGTTCATTTAGAAGAGAGCAGAATAAATCTTCCGCAGGACCCCAGTCACGCCAAACAGCTCTGTAAGAATAGGGTGAACTTTTGCCACCTCGGCCAACGGTAGAAATTCTAAAAATGAGTTCTCCTAGACACGCAGGTGCAACCCTTGCACCCGCAATCATCCCTAACCTCCTAAGCCCTGCACCCCCGAACCCTCGACCGGTGAATTTACCCTAAACCCTAAACCCTAAACCCCTAAACCCTAAACCCTAAACCCTGTTTGTTCCGTTGACTATTGCGTAGTTCACGCCCGCCTCACGGGAGATGGGCTTTTCAGAGACGACTTTCGTCTCTCCAGCCTAAGTGAATGGTGCGGGTATTGTTTAGGTTCAGGGCCAAGGATTGGGGTAAACTACTGCTACGACGACGACGACGAC